ATCTTGTTCCCGAGAATTGTATTATTATTTATGAATTAAATATATAAATAAATAATTTAAACAAGAAATGCCGATTATTGAGTCTTCAATTTTTTTTTTTTAATTGTCATATTTTTGCGTGTGGTCTTATAATTTAATCGTAAATAATTCGGGCAAAATTTAAAGGGCTCTGTAATTATAAATTAATCCAGCGAAAACGAAGGGACAATTGAAGCAACAAAGGAATAGGTCGGAGGAAGAGTAATAAATATGTATTGGGGGTCCTTTAATGCTGGATGTCTCCGGTTAATTTGTTCGAAGGGTCACAGGGGCATTTAACCCCGGAGAAAAGACATCACCAAATTGACTCTACCATTTGATTCCTCTCTCCCTTCATTAGATGCACGCGAGGGGACAGCAACTTCTTCTCTAATAGCAAGAGTATGAACTTAATTTTCAACTCTCGTTGAGTCATATACCATTTCCTGCCTACACCCTCATTCCTCCAATCCGTCATCAATGATGATGGAAACCTATGACTTTTTGGATGAAGTCATCAAGAAATTACGAGAGCCGAGGAAATAAAATTCTCTCAATTCAGAAATTCAGTATTAATTCTTTCGTTATTGTTTATCGGCAAAATTTCAGAATTATAAATAATTCACATTTTCAGAATTTGAAATCATGAATTTTCAGGCGATAAGGAACTTGAAAATATATTTCCGTGTGTTGATGATGATATTTGTAAACAAATTACTCATCAATAATTATAATGATTGAGGAAAACTAGGATTACAAATTGTTAGTAATGCTGAAATGTTCGCAAGATGATCTCAGATCTCCTCTCGCGTTTTATGAGAATATATAATATCCTTTGAGCCTTGAAATCCTAATACCGGATTGCGGTAACTTTCAAGAGATGTATTTAACAAAATGAAAAGTCAAACTATTTTTATTTCCAAACAAACGCTCTTAACGACACAAAATGTGGGATGCCAAAAAATTATTTTCTCCTTCGTAAACAGAAATAAAAATATACTCCCACCGCCACATGCGGTTAATTACCATGACAATTAATATTAAATATAATAGATATTAAATTATGTTGACATAAATTTATTCGTGAGTGTAATTATTCAAATCGCTAAAACGTCTCGGGGAAAAAGTGAAAAGTCGATTAATTTGGTGAAAAAATATCGACTTTCAGTTAATTGACTTTTTAATACTCGAGGGGTGGAGTGACTTGGCCTTTGTTGACGAAGTTCGACGGAATAAAAGGGCTGATGCCCTGATAGGGGGGAAATAACAACGTGCAGCATTTGAGTGTAG